GGAGGGGGGAGCAATGATCACGCCCAACTATGCCTTATAAAAAGGACGCGCGGTCGTTGCAAATATAATCTGAGTATTTAGCCCAGAGTCGAATCCACAGGGAATTAACCTACCAATTACTCTTGTTAGACTCACTAAATTCTTCGTAATCAATTTCCCAAATATTTTGAATAGCAATTGGTGATATTTTTACTAACTAGAACTGAATTAAATTAAGTAAATTAAAGACTAACTATGATTGAGTTGTAAACAATTAAGAGAAGATCTAAGGTTGTGATTTCCCCTATCGATGGAATCCCTTCCCGTTATGTTTCATATAGATTTGCATAATCGCCTCTATTGATCATGAGCACTCTTACTACCGTAAATCTCTCCCGAGTAATTACGACACTTTACTAGACGCACTCTCCCGAGTTACGCTAGCTGGCTTTTATTACAGCTCACTTTAGATCACATCCAAGACTTCATTATCCCTAATCCCGCCTTTAAACCCTCGGTTATTGATCCCTCATATACTTTGGGAGTGGTGTTGTTCAACAATTACCTAAATATGCACTCTCTCCGGAGTAATACACATTAAATAGGCACAACTAATTGAGGATCCTATCAATTAACTACAACAAGAACGTAGTTGAACAAATAGAGATTAAACTGCACACGAAGTTCATCCTTCAACAGGTTCCATCAAAATCCTAGACTAAATAATTAGCTACTCATAAACGTGTTCATCATAGCATCAAAATTCATCATAAATGATAAATACAAAAGGAAGAAAGGTAGAACTCGATGTCGAATTATCCTCCTTACCTCTTGCCTCTCCTTGCCTTCAACTCAATTGTAAAAACCTTGATAATGTCCCCTTTGGGCGAGCTGGACCTCTTATAGGTTAAGTAGAATTACTCCCGAACTTCCAAGTTTACCCCTGAAATTATTTGCTCCGAACTGGACTAGCGCGGCCGCGCATATAGCATATTATTCTGCCTCGATTTCCTGGGCTAGCGCAGTCGCGCTAATGGACGCGCTAAGATGGGTCATCATTTTAGCTCTTCTTTTCTCTCTTCTTTCACACGTACTCAGCTCCGAGGGGCTTCCCTTGCTTTAATTTAGCTCCAAATACTGTCCTAAGTCCTCATAAGCGCAACTCGCTCCTGCAAAACATGAAATTCACAATTAGAGCCAATTTATCGTCATTTAACCATCCTAGAACAGTGAAGCATAGTCAAGTTGGGGCATGAATAATCGCCAAACTGCATAAATCTAGCATATTATCAGGCAATTATGGGGATACCTGTTTTTCTAATATAATATTTTAATTATATTAAATAAATTTTAAGAGGCATTAACATAATACTAAAGATGCATGAATGTTAAGTAACATCCACATATTATAGAATCATATGCAGTTGACAAATAGTATTGTCATTAATCTCAAAAACTAAACTTAAACACAAAATATCTAGTTCAACCATTCAAGTACAGTATCATACTTAATCATCTATTACATTTGCAAAGAAATTCAATGATTTTCATTATGATTACTATCACTAGATGATCTTCTTACGCCCATAGGGGAAATGGATCCGCTAGCTGCATCACTTGGCTGCAAAGAAATAAAAAGCATTTAAAGTTATTTTTCTTTAGTTTTTCAAATTAAAAAACTACATATAGCTAGATTCATTTACCGCTGCCGGAGGAGGAGAAACGAAAATCCCAGCAAACTGTTCAGGTATTGTCCCTTCATTCATAATCATATATGTCTTGAAAGCATTCATCATTTGGTGGTGTGCAGTCATCATTTGAGCATAGTTCTCTTGGCTTTGATTGTGAGCATTTACAATCTGATTGTACTTCTCTTCGCATTGGGACGAACATGAACCATTATCACAACTGGAAGAATTTATACCTCCAAAAAGACGTCTTGTTTGTCTAAAAATTTTACTCGAGATAGCTCCTAACCCCAAGCACCTTACCCTTCCAGAATGCTCTTTTCCTAGCACCTTACCAACGGCATCATTTGGTGAAACTTCAGACTCATCTGTGGCGCTTTAACTTACAACTAGCTCAATTTTTTCCTAAATATAATATACACAAGATTCATTGTCATAACTTCAATTAGTAATTGACAAAATAAGGATATTCTTTAGTCACTTTGAAAACAAAATATACAATTATTCTCAGACGATCTTCTATTTCCTTACTTAGATGAGAGTTTTGCATGGACTGTAGAAAAATCACTTATAGTGTCTAAACAAGTTAGGTTCTCACTGAGCATGAAAACCAATAAACAAAGGCATCAAGAAAAGAATAGGTCTAATAGAAGATTTAACACAACAGATTCACTCTCCTCCAAAAGGCATTTAATAAGTTGTTAGTTGTTGCTATGTATTTTCCGGCCAGATTAGATATTGGAGAGGACGTTGATCATCTGCCTATAAGATTTCTCTACCTCCTCTCACATTCCATGTTTCCCAGTTAAAGTCATGCCATCATCTACCAAACCAACTACCTTTATACATCCTCCAAACTTTTTGACATGTACAATTCTGCTTGTCATGAACCTCATGCTGATATGTAAAGGCACATGCATGATCAAGAACAGAAATAGAGATGTTCTCCAGATCTTGGTCTAGTGGTATCCCAGTTCACCTGTGCGAAATTCCTAGGAGGTTTATTACGAAGTGAAGGCTAGCTGGGTTCTTACATTTTATCCCTTGAGGTTCAAATGTAATGAAACTAAGCAGTCACAGGCTCAAGTTGGAGAAAGAAGTGCAAGCAACTGGAAGCTTCTCAGAAGGATTGTAGCAAGTGGAGGGATTATTAGTTAGTTAGTTACCCAGCATATTTACCCAAGAATTGTACTGAAGTGTCTGTTAGGATGAAGCTTTTAACATATTTACACATATTTCTCTTGCTGATTCATTAACATATGACCCATCTTCCTTCTTATGAGTAGCAAGATAGAGTTGCGCTCGTCCAGGGTTTTGTCCAGATTCAGCCATCTATAAATGAAAAATCAAGTCAGAATAACT